AGCCGTTAGAAAAATACCAAAAACAATAGAAAATGTAAAGAAACGTGATCATAAGCTGATCTATCAACGTAATCTTTGAACGACTATCAGGCAAGACCTTTCAATATATCAAGCTTATCTGTGATTGACATCTCAACACAGATAAAAGACATAAAAGCATACAAAATCGACATTAAATATAAAATACTACACACATTATTGTTTGGTTTATGGCCAATATTTGGTTTCGAATGGAAAGTTTATATGACAGATAAATTGTTTTATTACTTAGGTTGTTAAAGTTTTTAGTGCTTATAATACTAATTACTTGCAAGCCTTAATTAGCGTGACATACTTAGAGATATTATCATTAACAAGGTCTTATTTTCTCTGTAGGATGTATTGATCTTGATGACACTTGTGGGACGTACAGAATTAAAAATAGTAAAGTTACGCCGATACCGACCAAGCTAGATTACCTATCATCATTCTTCTTAAATGTGAAATGGCGTTTACAAGTATTTGAGCCTTGTAAAAATATCGAGTAAATATTTATTTACAATATACAGTGTGAGTCACGTTAAAGTGTACATATGAAAATAGATGAAACTAGACCTATTTTTATCGATAAAAAAGAGGTCAAAAATTTTTTGAGATTTTTTTTTAATTTTTTATAGATTTTTTTTTCTTCCAATTACTTATTGTAAAGAAAACGTAATAACTTTTAAACTAAGCGGTATATTCTGATAAAATAAAAACAGTAATAATGCTTAATAACAGGCAATACTAAAAAAATACAGAAAATACACAAAAAATGCCAACAAATAATAAAAAAGATACTTTTTGAAAAAAATCTGCTTTTAAATTCGTGTTTTTTTGGTTATTTGATAAATTNATCTAACTTGTCTTTATCAAAATTACAAATCTAGAGCCATTTTCAGTTTCGTTGTTAACAAAGCGTTGAATGGCGCGCCCGTAGAGGCTTTGTTCAAAAGATCATTGCAAACGTTGTGATAGGGATAGAGACATGCGATTTTTGGTTTTACAAAAGTAATACGATGGAGAATAATAAAAAGTAATAAAAACCACCTGTTAATGGGGCATTTTTTGGAGAAATTTATCAAATAACCAAAAAAATACGAATTTTTAAGCAGATTTTTTTCAAAAAGTATCTTTTTTTATTATTTGTTGGCATTTTGAGGGTATTTTATGTATTTTTTTAGTATCGCCTGTTATTTAGTATTATTACTGTTTTTATTTTATCAGGATATACCGCTTAGTTTAAAAGTTATTACGTTTTCTTTACAATAAGTAATTGGAAGAAAGAAAAATCTATAAAAAATTTAAAAAAAAAACTCAAAAATTTTTTGACCTCTTTTTTGTCGATAAAAATAGGTCTAGTTTCATCTATTTTCATATGTACACTTTAACGTGACTCACACTGTATTTACAGATATTTCCTCTTAATTTTCGTTATTGCGGTCCAATCATCAAATAATAAATTCTTGTCGGTGACTTAATTGTCAATTTTAGAAGATACGCCGCTGATCGTTTATTAGAAAGCATTAAAATGCTGATACCGATTTAATTCAAAACCTCCATATAAGATAACGAATAGCAACGAGATTGATCTAACGATCTAATTTTATAGATTAATATAATCGATATCCAGACGTAATAAGAAAGCGTCTGCGTTTTGCCATCATCAATTTTAATGGTTATTTTCACCAGCAAGTGTTTGGTATTGCGTGAAATAGCATTATGCTTGCCTAGGTTTCGTTTTATGTCTTAATCGACAGATTTAACTTGTTATCAAGTAATTGCTTCCTAAAATGTACATAGCAAGTAAAAAAATCCTTACTTATACAGGGTGTCCCAAATACATAACCTTGTAACTATAGACAAGCCTCACAGTGGTTTCTCTATAAAATTTTGACGAAGTAAAAATATTACGGTCACGACGAGGCTTATCGACAGTTGCAGGTTTATTCATTGTTTTGAGGACGCCCTGTATTTTTAGAATAAGGTCACCATAACCACAGTGACAGCGCAGTTATGGCCGCTGCAACCAGTGTAGATATTTGCATGAGTCATGGAAGTGGTTAGCTGGTTAGCGGATATTTTGAACGAAAAATGTGGAGTGCAAACTTATGTGGGCACAAGGTTCATAAAGATGACTAATAATTTAAATGCGAAAGTAACTTAGTTTATTAATTACATTTCATGCCTAAACAGTTGAACTAATTTTGATGAACTGTGGTAAGTACAGATTATGATATCTGGGAAAAAATAAGCTACCTTTGGTTGCAAAAATAAATTGATCGGTTTAAGGAAGTTACAGTTCGTTTTGTTCCCATTAGGTATTTCTCGTGTAGAGAATGCTTATAAAAAAAACATCTTAGGATTAACAATTATTATTATTGATCCAAAGTTATCTTCTCAGTAAAGTCGCAGGCAGAAACTATAGAGCCGTTTCTTTGTTCGCTGGGTTTTTATGTTTTTATGTCTGTCCATAGCGATTGGTCGATACGAGATCAATTAGAAAGAAAATGAGAGATTTTATAGCCTAACGATGATTAGCAGCTTCTTATAAAAATGGAATCGTTCATCGTCCAAGATATCACGGTTTTTATACAGACCATGACGACATCCTAAACACAACGGATATCGCTCGAAAAAAAATTTATTGATTGCTAAACCGGTCATGAGATTTTATATGGGTTGCGAATCAATGGAATAAAGGTAGTATTCATATTTGTATGAGATCGCAGAGAAGCCCGGACATGCGCCAGTGTGAATCCACCTTAAGACTTGAAAAAGGCGCAGATGACCTCTTTCTCAGTTCCAACCAATCCAACTATTATTCTATTATAAATTATGACGTTATTTTCTCTATTATTTACACATATTGTTGTTTAAGTACTGGCGTTATAAATAATGGGCTCGAGTCTATGACACACGTAAGTAAACGGTAAGTATAATATCTCGTAGATTATCGAGATAAACGAGCTAAAATCCGACTATTTACGATATGTAATCAGCTACGTAATGGAATAAGAATGAAATTTTACATGTTTTTAATTATTCTATCAAAACTGATAGTAGAATACATTCGTAATGCCTACGTTTTTTTTTTTTCAAAATGATTGTTTAGAAGCTGAGTTTAGAAAGAATACAATGCTTGATTTCGCAATTCGCATCCACGTAAGGATATGTCAATGTCAAATGTTTGACTCTACCATATCTGCATGTATTATATTTAAAATCAGTCGAGGACTACGAAATCACGTCATCGCATAAATTACGCAATATCGTAAAAAGATATTTAGCACTGGGAGTAGGTAAATATCACTCGACTTGCTTGAGAGTAGGCTATACATATTATAGCCTTTATACAGCCTTCGCTTGACAATGCCATTAATATAAAGTTACTTTACTTGACTAACTTTCCAGGCCAGTGCACTCATTGGCTCGGTTAGTACCTATAATTAATATGTACATATGTTCTGCGGATAATGTACTATTCGTTCCGGCATACATTGGATATGATGTCATAGAAAAGCGCCTGGTGACGATGACATATTACTATAATACAAGTGTATTATTTATATTATAACAGTAACAGGAAAATAGTGCATTTGTACGAAAGGCAGTAAAGACTGAATCAAAGGACGAAAACGACAATCATTTCGACATTCAAAGAACGCTTTGATCCACGTCGACCGCTGGACTATTGTGGTCAACACACTCCTAATACAAGTATTTAGCTTACTTGGACCTCTCCAAGAGAACAGGGGTATAGTTATTTGTTAATTATTTACAACACGGCGCACGGCTAGGCTGTTAGACAGCCTAAAATCTGATTAGTAAGCCTGCAGAGTGACGTAAGAGGAAAACCTTACAAAATGTTTCGTCTTAGTAAAATAGAAAAAAAAAATAGAACAACACAAACAAACAACTCAAAAACTACTTGAATAACTGATCTTTGTATGAGTATGATCTTTAACAGAACTTTAACTACAGCTTTAAGAAACTGAACAAAAAATATTCCATACATACCTATCTGACATAATAACATCCTATGTGTATGTCATTAATTTAATTAGTATTGGTGGTATACTGGGCACATCACTTTAATTATCTCACAATTGAACCACTTAAAACGAAAACAGAGCATGGGATTATGAATTTGTTTGTAAACGATTGTGCGTAATTATGCAATGAACTGTAACACTTATTACGATTAAATTACCCAATCCCACGGTCATTGTGTTAACCAACACGACATTTTATTTGGCGAAAGTCATTGTGAAAAACGCGACTTGACGTAAATGGTAATTACATTCAAACAATATTTTACCCAACTACCTATGGAATATGCACTAAAATACTTTGGAAGATTACGTAAATTACGAACATTTTTGAATTCATTATTTACGCGGGACGCGCGATAACGACGCGAATGTGACAAACTGATATCCTCCTAAACTAATTGAAAAAAAAAAACAACTAAGTATTGACATCTCTATCTTTAATTTTCTATGTAATATAATATATTTTTATTAATATTATCTTATTTATCTACATAATCACCGTATTAATTCTTAAAGTTTAACAGGAAGCAGTCATAAAAATAAGATAACTGAAAATCATGTGTTTTGAGTTTTCATCAATAATATTTGACCAAATACATTCTTTCACTTATGATATGAGTTTCTAATTTTATAGTGCTAAATAATAGACTTGTAATCAACAAGATTTTGAGTAAATTAACAAGGGTAGGAAGGCTAAAATTGAAGATGGGCCATGACATCAAAGAAATAGATGGGTGACTGGTATGGAGGAAGCTTTTACCCAAAAAAGAATCCACACAGATAAATAATTTAAGTTACATGCTGCATATTAGGAAATTCAAAATAATTTAGGAAATAACGCTTTCTTATTAATGTTCAAAGCATGGATGAGGTACCAGACTGAAGTTTCTATCGTATTAATAGCATATGACAAACAATAAAACTCACCTTCGTGCCAGATGAAGTCTCTCCTGAGTGGTCAAGTGCTCCACTTGAGCCATCTCGGCAACTAAATCTGAATGCTCCATTTTGATTTACCTGAACACAAAAAAAAACACTTAAAACAAATCAAGAACTATATTAATTGTATGATTTTGATAATTTTTGTTTGTGAAATTGCAGTTATAGTGCAGTATGTACTGCATTTACATAAATAGGTCAACTGCCATACTGAGCAGGACTTGTGTTGCCAAAAATGTATTAACAATTTTGGTGTTAGTTCTAACATTAGTTAACTGTTAGAACCCTGGGGTCACACGTAGGCTGAGTTGCACTACTTAACTTTAACTGTAACAATGACAATAACCGGTGCTTTTTGTATGGAGTTTGACAGATTTTTGATGTTTGTCAAAGTTAGAATAAGATGGTGCAGCTCAGCCTTAGTGAACTGCTAATCAAAACACAGTAATCATCATGGTACATTTTTAAAATAATGTTACATTTACTTGATCAGACAATTTTACTTTGTATGGGGAAATTTAAAATCACAGCTATTAAATTTAACTTGTTTCAAAGGATTTTTAATTGGTGGACATCATCAGAAAAAGTATTTCATTAAGTTTTTAGAATGAACTAACAAATAAAATTTTAATACCTACATGATCAGGTACAGTAGAGTATTTTTGGACTTATGCACATGCACATTATTTTAGCATCAAAATGTTAAAACTTGAATTGATTACCATTATTTAGCTATGCAGTTAGGTCATGAATATTAAAACAAAGCTAGGTATACTAGGTAGGTATACTGTTTTAGAGACTAGCAATGTAACACCATTGATAACTGTCTGTAGAATCAGATAATGATAAGATAAGAAATAAAATAACCACAAGTCTTTTAAAAGCACTGAATTTGAAGAATATTATTAAATAACAATCTACGCGAATACAATTCGGAAACTTTTATCGTAGATATTTGAAAATATCAGTTAAAACGTAAACTGACACTTTTAGAAAGGCACCAAGCATGTCCAACCCTAATCACCTGTAGGGGTCAATAAAATAGATTGACACTTCTACTTTTGTTAAAAACAACTAAATAACTTATTCACACTAATTTCTAATAAGACTTACCGCTCTTTTACTGTTCTACAAGACAAAAGTATGTTTCATTCTTGTCTTAATACATTTGCCACACATGATATACACCTTATCAACAGAAGATTATGCAAACACATTTAGACATATATTAGAAATTATAGTCGTAACCGACACAAATATTTACAGTTACACAGCATTTTCCGTTATTTTTCATGAAAAATTAAAATATAAACAAGAAGAAAATACAAGACAACGAGCTAGCGAGTGAGCGAGCGAGCGGCACGGCTGGTGTTGCCGCGTTATAAATCATGGAATGTCAAAGTAATATAATCGAGTGTTTTGAATCGATTCAATAATATTATTCATAGTTCACATTATTTGTAATTATTCGATTTATGTGCCAGTAATTAAATATGACTTTTCTCGTCAAATGCTGATTTTTTGCGTTAGGATGAGACGACAATTGACCGGCAATGGGCAGTTATTATAACCTTTAACCGATGACGTGCGGTTTCACCAGGTTTCACAGACCACTCCGGTTTTTGATCAGAAATATCAAAAACTGGAGTGGTCTGTAAAACCTGGTGAAACCGATTCTACTTACTCCCGTGTCCCTAGCGTTATAGGCTCTGACATGCCAAAATTAAATCAGCTTAATAAATCATTGCACCAGCTTCAAAAAAGACGTGTATTTTTGTCTAAATAAATTGAAAAGGAAATTATCTTACAATGGGCTGAGTGTGAGTTTATACATCAAACTAGTGAGTGGGTTTAAAAAATGAATGAAAAGGATGCAGATGGTGCCAGGGTCTGAACCAAGTGCTGCCCAGAATTAACCCATAGTTCATTTTGTTCCTCAGGCCAATACTAATGTGCTAACCGGAGTGCACTGAAATCAAACATTTATAATTTAATAATTAACAAACATTTATAATTTTATAACGTTTTATCATTCGATTTTGCTTATCTGATAATCGAGTCCAGGTTATCATTTTTTTCTGATGGCAACTTTGCTTGCTGCAATGGCGCGAAAAGTTAAAAAAACATCGCGAATACAAACACTGCGTGAGTTGTGTTGCGCTTCTGTTACTGTGTCTAATGTCCATTGACATCTAGACTAAATAAAAGATCTAAGCAAGTACCTATAAGGGTCAAATAAAAGCGATTGTGTTCCTGCTCTAATAAGTAGGCTAATAAAATTGTAACAACAAGACTTTCGGGTGAGGTGAGGATGAGAATGTGTGTGACCCACGCACGAGTCCAGTCTGTACCTACTAAGAACTGTATTTTGAGGGGGGTTATAACAAGGAAAGATAAAGTTCGCCAAGTCATAATTTTTATTTCATAGAAGTTTCACAAGGTCTACATAGGATACCCAACTATGGTACATAGTATAACAACATCAAGGTATCTCGTGTACCTTTACCCACTCGCAATATGTAAGTAAGTCTAAACTAGGCACTATTATTAGTTATTCAATTGACACACCATATTTCATACAAAAAGCTTTTTTATAATTAAATACGTACAACTATTACAGGAGTTTTACAACTTTTCAGATCAAACAATGTCATTATTAATAAAAAAATACACAATAATATCTAGATCTTTTGTCGTTTCATATTCTGCATTTGAAAAATAGGCTGTTATTTTTAAATTACAAAATAAAAATAATATGATCATTCACTCTAAATATTAGGTATATTTTTAAGCAACTCACTAACTTAATGATAAAATAAAATTCAAAATAGTTAAGTAATCGTCACATTAAAATTTTAAAAGATTGCATGAAATACGTAATTTCGCTAGTTGTCTCTATTTTTTTTATCTAAAAAGGCAAGAAGTTTTTACTTATTACAACGGTACCTAAACGTCGTACTTTCTTCTCCAATAACAGATGTTAATTACATGTAAGTAGTTACTTATTAATTAATAAAACACTCGCTCATTTAATTTTCTAAATAAATACAGTCAAAAATTAACGACAGTATAGGTATTTACATCCATTTCTATACAGCCCTTTATAAGTAGGTATTTCAAAACTGGTTCACGGAAATAAATGTTATTATTACATACATTAACACTATGCAGTACGGAGATTTTTGTATTACTTTCATACATAAAATCGTCAACAAATATTAGTATGCATATTTACAAACTTTAGCATTAATTTTCCTATTATTCTATTATTGTACTAAATTACTTACAAACGGGCTATCATACAATTCACTAGTGAAACGTTCTCTAATAACAATTCAACGTGTTGCATTATAGTTAGATTCTTACAAGCATTATTCATGCATATTATTTTTCTATTATTAGTTAGTCAAATTACTTCGGCATCGAATTGCCAATGACATGATAAAAAGTAGAGATGAAACGGATATCCGGTAACTATCCGGTAGGCCGGATATCCGGCCTAAATTTACTATCCGGCCGGATACCGGATAGTAAATCACTATCCGGCCGGATACCGAATATTAAAAAACTACGACAATTTCCTATTAATAAAATGAAACACACACACAACACATGAATGAATCTTTGAGGTAAACATCAATAAAATGGCTTATAATAATGACGGCTTTTATTTAAAGTCCAAAAAGTTTCAAAAAAGCCATATTATTAGGCCTTTAAAAAAAACTAATTTCTTTTTCTGGGCTATTCACTCTAATGACGAATACATAAATAGTAAATATCTGTTAATGTCGAAATATTGCCAAATAAAATAAGCGATCTTTTTTTCACTGATGGTCTGATGTCATGATGCAGTTCAGTCAGATTACGCAGCAAGTTAACTAATTTAATTTTCACTATTCAATCACACACTCAATATGGCAACTGAAATCGCCTGAATTGATCTGCCCCCTAGACAAGTGGCAAAATCTGACATTCTATTCGGACTGATTCGATTTTCGAAAAGTGTGACTAGTCTAGTCTACTAATCGCGTTCGAAGCACTTGTGCGGCGCTAAACTCGTCACGACATGCAACGACACAATGGGCCAACTATCCGGCCGCCGGATATCCGGCCAAACAACTATCCGTTTCATCTCTAATAAAAAGCCATAAAGAATTATTAAGATATTCAAGTCCTATTACAATTTGACCGTGAATTTTCTTTAAAGTTTCCGATTTACACCACTCTCTACAACTCAAACGCGTGATTGGCATTATTTCAATATTTAGACCAGGCTTGCTTTTGTTTTTTAAGTGAGTTTATTTTTTTCAATACGGGCCTAGCCTTAGAATTGCCTAATAAGATTTGTCAAAGAGTAGCATGGTGGTGCGTAGATCGTTTTACGTTTACCTACTAAGTAGTTGCAACGTGTTTGACAGAGCCTTTACAATTATTATACTGTTTAGTAAAACAAAATAAATGTTTGATTTTCCTCCTTATTAAATAAACTTTAGGAACATCGATTGAATATTAATTGATGCCAATTTTATCTCATCCCGTCGGTTTACTACTTAAACATTAAAAAAGACAAAGCCTATACTAACCGTTACCTACGTACCTATTCATATTATTGTTTCAGTAAATAACCACAAACGTAGTATTGTCATTGGCAACAGGTGCCATCATTGTTAATGCTATTCACACATCACGATAGATCACGAAAATAAATGAAGAATCAATGGCCGGTATCAAACGTTGAAGACACACAAGTATAAGAAAGACGAAGAAAGCACATTGAAGTAGAAAAAACAAACTAGAGTTCAGTTAATCCGTAATTTAATAGTTACTATTAACATGAGGTTACACAATACTTAAATCTAGAAGGTGCAGAAGAAATCGAAAATAAAAGAACATTAATAACTGGATTATTTTTAAACAGAATTTAGATAACTAATTTAACAAATTTTAAAATACATACTGAAGTTAGTAACTAGACTTTCCAGCTAATTTTTTAAGTACCTATAAAGTAGGTACAAGTACAATCGAGTTCATAAATACCTATATTGGCGATGCCAATTTATTTCAAAATATTGTAGCGAAGTAGCGCAGTCATTATCGCAACCTAATTATGAACTGTTTATATTATTAAATATTGATTTTGAGTTTGTATTGAAATATACTATCGTTAACACGCTAACAATACATATTTTGGAACATTAGCACTGCCAATATATTTATGAACTCGAGTGTACTGACTTATTCGTTATGAAAGTAAAACACGGAACCTAACAGAAATTGAAACTATCAATATCGTACAATGTGTAAATAGCCACATAATTTAAGAAATTATGAAGATAGTATTTATAGAATATAAAAATAGCCGTGACTAAGTATTATTCTTGAAAAACTCAGAGGTATACAAAAGTAGAAATAATAAACTAAAAATAGTTTTTAATTTTCACGACATTTATGTTGTGAGGTATTGAACATTTAACAAGTAAGAAGTAGGTACATGACCTATTTAAAAGATAAATACCTACCTACTTACATAATTTTGAGAAAAGAAAATGTTTCCCAAATAAAATGAAAATTAAATGAACAATAAGTAACAACAGGAATTAAGCAATTACAATGTTCAAATACCTAACTAACTCCTACCTAATTTCCAATATTCAGCCCTATTTTTGCAATTTCAATTTTCTTTTAATCATTAATTATTACCTATTATTATTTGTTAATTTGATATTAATTGTTCAATGTCCGCATACTTGCCTCGATTGCATTAACCATAAGCCAAAATATAGAATGCGTCCGCTTACATCTTCGTCGAATAGTTAATTTAATTCAATTAACTCACGTTAAGCCACTTTATTAACTAATTTACGTTTTATAACTACACCACAAATTCACAGCACTGTTTAGAAAGTGTTCGTTTATACTTTCACGTTGACATTTTGAATTCGTTTGGCGTTAAAATTGGGTATGACGCCAAAATGGCGTCGCATGATCACAAAATGGCAGATTTAAGAGTTTATTCTAGTGTTCGGTATTTTAAAAGTGGCAACCGGTCAGGGTCACCACGACGGGGTACTCAGGTGTTCTCGTCAGAGGAGTCGTCTGACGATGAGCTGGTGAGGAGGGTGGAGGCCATGGTGAGCTGCCGGATGAAGGGTTCCCTGGGCAGACTCTGCTGGCCCAGGGGCAGCCGCCTTACGCCCATCCTCTCACTCTCTGGCAGGGATTTGCTACACTTCTCTTCTGTTATCGCGTCGCGGGATAGGGAGCTGGTGGTAAAAAAATACAATGATATTTATTTTGTAATTAAATTTTCATTTTTACACAAAATTGTACGTTACACTTGTATTGTAGAGCTCAAGAGCTCTTTTGGGATGC